ATTATTACCATCAATATCGCCTTCATTACTTAACACCATCAGAATCACCACCGCCATCATCATCATCATTATCATAATTATCACTATTACCTTCACCATATTCATAATCAATTCAATCATTAGTATCAACATTCGCATTTATTTCAATACAAAATTGTTGATATGATTAGTAACTAGCTATTTATTTCATTTTCATTTTTAACTAATTTTGATGTTATTTTAACATATAATATTTCTGTTGTGAATGTAGCATCAAGACAATTATCAAATATCTAATGAGAGAAATTTACCTTCACGGGTAATTTGTTATCACTGTTTCATAAAGTAATTTCATGATACAGTTAATATCTCAATAATTATCAGAATCAAAATGACGATAATGATAATGATAGTAAAACTGATAAAAAACAATAAAATCAAAGTAATTTTAACTTTTATTTTGATATAAAAATAATAAAGCCAACAATGATAATGATAATAAGAGCGACATTGATAAAAATTAACAACAGAAATAGAAATTATATCAATACACTATTAAATAACAGCTCTCCCTGACCAGGACTCGAACCTTAGCCACTTCAGGTATGACTTGGAGGACCATTACTAAACCAACCATACCAAACGACCCCCTAAAAGGAGTGTGCAACTAGGTTCTCACTAGCTCCATAGACACTACCTACCTACTCAAACTAGAGTCATGATAGCAAAGTTTTATACAAATTCCCCGTGGGCAGTCTTTAGAAATAGATTTAGAAATTCAAATCCCAAGTCAGACTTAGTGAGGTGTTTATGGAAGACGGGATATTGCAATGACTCGTTGATAGCGAGATCCTAGTTCCTTTAGTGAGCCTTATAGTATGGTTGGTTTCGTACTCGTCCTAGGTTCGAGTCCTGGTCAGAGAGGGTTGTTATTTGTCCATATCAACGCGGCATTGCAATATTCTATCTTTCATAATAGGCTAGTAAAACTAATTATGATGAATAGGAGACCGCTGCCAAGAACTACATCAATAATAACAACAAAAACAAGAACACCAGCAATAAGAAAATAACAATGATAATAACATTGAAAAAATGGTGATTATGATAACAGTAATAGCGTTGAAAATCATGATAATAATACCAGTATCATTATTATTAAGATTAATAATGATGATATTAATGAGAGAAATAACAACAGTAATATCATTTTCCTTGTTATTGCTTCCATCATCATTATCATTATTATTAGTAGTAGTATGATTATCATTTCTATTATCGTTATTAACAGTAGTAATAGCAGTGATAATAATAGCAATAATTATAGTATCATTGGTAATAGTAGTAATAAAGATATAATGAATGAATGAAAATGAATATACCAGTTTCGACATCATCAGAAATATATGCATTTCTGATGAAAATATAGACTGATCCGTTTGAATACTTTCTGTGGACTGTGAAAATATTCGTTCTAATTATACTTTTTTTTTACATTTGTCGAAAAAGCAGCAACAACAACAATAATAATCATCATAATAATAATAATTAATAAGGTTACTGATTATGATGATAACGAGAATGAGGATGATGGTCCTGATGCTAATGCAGATGTTGATGATGATGATAATGATGATAATGACAATGATAATGATATTGATAATGCTAATAATAGTGGTAATGCTAATGATGATAACAAAATAATGATAATAATAATAACAATAATGATAATAATAATAAGTATACTAATGTTAAGGGAGTATATAATAATAATGATAACAGATAAATAATAATGCTAATAATAACATCAAATATCATAATAATGATAACAACAACAGCTATAGTAATAATAACAAAAATGATAATGATAATAACGGTAGAGATGGCTACAAATATAAAATAATGAAATAATATTATGAAGACAGAAAAAAGTTATGATAATAATTATAATGATACTAATATTAACACAAATGATAATAACAATGATGATGACGATAAAGAAGATTCTGTTTAAAAATAATGATAATACATTACAAGGCTTCATAATAATAATGAGGATGATAATCATGATAATGCCAATAATAATGAGGATGATAATGTTAATGACAATGGTAATGATAATGAAAGGAATAGTAATGAAGGTAATGATAAAGATAATAATAATAGGAATAATAATTGTAATACCAATAATGTTAATAATAATAAGATGAAGAAAGCCATGACAATGATAACAATAACAGTAATAATGATAACAATGATGATAATAATAATAATAATAATAATAATAATAATAATATAGATAATAATAACAATAACCAAACAGCAATAATAATATTAGTAGTAGTAATAATAATATTATTATATTATCAGAAAAATAACAATAACAATAATGAACCTGATAATCAGAATAAAAAAATAAAAATGATATGAATAAAAAAGTAAATAATAACAATGTCATACTACCAATTATAATGAAACGAATAAGCACATAACAGCAATTATAGAAACGATGAAAAAAATATATATAAATAAATAAATAAATAAATAATAAAATTAATTTTATGATTATTATTCTTACTCTTCTTATCCATGTAATCATAATTATTTTCATTATCACTTATCCGTATTATCATCAGTTATCATTTTTATTTCTATTGTTGTTATTTTCATTATCGCTGTTATTTCCTATTTCCTTTGCTTTTTATTGCCGCTCTTATCACTCTTTCAGTAATAATTTATTATTATTATTATTATTATTATTATCCTTCTTCTTTATTATTTTTACTTCTTATTAATCTTATCTTCTTACTATTACTTATTATTACATTGATACCATTTTTATCATCATCATTGTTATTATTGTTGGTGTTGCTGTTATTATTGTCATTATTGTCAACATAATGATAATAATAATAATAATAATAACGATAATAATCAAAATGATAACAATAAGAATAATAAAAGTGCAATGATAACAGCAAAAATAATGACCATAACAATAATAACAACAATGATAATAATGATAATAATAATAGTAATAATAACAACGATAATAATATCAATAATAATGACAATAACAATAATAAAAAAGATCGTGATAATAACTATACAAATGATAATGATAATTATATTAATAATAATAATAAAATTAATAATAATAATAACAATAATAATAATAACAATAATATTGATAATAATAATAATAATAATAATAATAATAATATTAATAATAATAACATCAACACTACTACTATTATATTATTAATAATAATGAAACCAATAATAATAACTATAAGAAAAAAATGAGAATGAGAAGAGTAAATAAATAGATATGATAACAATAATAATAATAATAATAATAATAATAATAATATAATTATCATCATTACTATTATTACTATTATTATTATTATTATCATTATTATAATTATTATTATCATTATCATTATTATCATCATTATCATTATTGCCATTATTATTATCATTATTATTGTCATTATCATTATTAATATCATCATCATTATTTCCATTACTACTATTATAAAAGTTATCATTACTATAACCATCATTATGATAAAAAGAATTCGTTACCACTTTCGTTGCTGTTCTTACATTCACAATCCTTTTCATTTGCAATATTGTACTATATTTTGAGAATTGTTTACGTTCCTTTCATTAGGTCGATGAAGATGACAATGAAAACAAAAACATTGACAAGAAGGAGAGTGAAACGACGTTGAATAAGAAAACAAAGACGTTTCTTGATTTGTTTTTCGTTTGAATAGTCATTTAACTGAAGCGGTAGACGAGGGCCGTTAGGATTTAAACGGCTTCATTCACTTGAAAAAATACCATTTCCTTGTTTCACATTTCGCCTATCATCTAATTATTTACACTAATTACTCTCATTAACACCAAACGCATCACCTACCTCATTAACACCACTGTATCTCATTCATTATCATATCATTTACCTTGAATAAATAATGAATGGCAATGTCATTGCATTTAAAATACAATATGTTTAGCAGTTATTTCTCAAATGGTGAATAACATCACTAATGAATCGGGTATTGAAAGAACAAGGGCCTAATAACAATGGTGCTTGTACTAGTGAATGATTGTGGTGAATTGAGTTAACGGTGTCGTATTGTTTCGTTTGTGTAGTGACGTCAGAAGAAGGAATAGGTGAGAGGGAGAGATGAATGAGGTTATGGACGGACGTATCGATAAACAGCGTAGGTTTCGTGTTGCTGGATACGAAAATACGTGCGTTTTTTGATGGGGTTTTATTACAAAATGATGGCGGTTATTCGTTTTCATATAATGAATTTCAGTCCACGAAAGTTCATATTGTCTGAAACAACAAATGCAGAGATTGATTTGGTCCAAGTGCTATTGTTAATCCTATGGTTTATCGACGATGTAAATAAAGCTCCATTCTTCGACGAACTGCACAACAAAGGCAAACAAGAAAACAAAAACAAAACAAAAAAAAAAACGGTTCCAAGCAGGAATTCAGGAAGTTTACGGCAGGATAAGAAAAGCGAAGATTCATGATCCGAGAGCCTGGGTAAAGGGATCAGGCGGAATCACTGCTTACGGGCCAGCGAGGAAAAATGGAGGCTTATTTGGCCAAGAGGAGGCTCATGAGATGTGCCAGAGGTTCAAGCGTCACGGGAATGAGGCTCCGAGGGCGAGGAAGAGGTTCATTTAGCTCTTGTACGTACGGATAACGGACCTGAAGATTCGGCGGTTTGTGGTACATGATAAGGGGAAGATAAGGGGAGAGGGGAAGGGGCTCTGGTGATGCGGCTGTGGGTATGGGGGTCTGGTACGATTAATGGGCGAGGAAGTGTGGGTAGGATTGGATTCCCTCTAAGGATTCGACCCTGATGGAAGTGTTCCAGTGAGTCGTGTCGAAGAGATATATACTCCTAAATACGCCATGTTGGTCCTTCAGCATGTACCAGCCTGCGCCTTGGGGGACATGAACAGCATGCTGCGTTACGGGACGTTACCTGAATGGAGTACTGCGGCAAGGAAGAGGAAGAGGAAGAAGACGGGAGGCAGCAGGCGCGGCCAGGGACGGGACACGGTAGAGGTACTGGAAGCGCCCCTCGCCGCCATCTTTGCGGGCCCAGCCTGCTGCGCCCAGCGGTGGCTGGTGCCTCGCCTGCCTGCTGGCTGTCGTCACTGCTCAAGCGTCCTTCTGTTTTCCCTTAAAACGCTTGAGCTCACCCGCGCCACATGGGTCTGCGGGGCTGGCCTCCTTCAACACACTTCCGCACTTAGCACTCGGAGTTAGTGGCTGCAGCGACGCGTCCGACCCCCGCCATCCATACGAAGGGCTCTCACGTCGTGCTGGGGTGAGCACAGGTCATGTAGGGGGTGCGGGCGTGCGGGCGGGGTCGCGCTGAGGTCGGCACGCGGCGGG